TATGTTGCTAGTTGTACATTCATTTTAAAGGCATTTATGTTGTGTCTCTGAAGGTTGAACTAATCCATAAGACATAACTTTTCTGTGACTCTGAATTTCACACTTACAAGATCATCAGACAGATTTTAATGAAGAGTATACCTCACTTAGATCAAATATATACAGTGGTTGGTCAGTTAGTGAATCTATTGTAATCTAAGGTGGATGTTTATTAAGGAGTATTTGTTCTCAATTTCCAAATGCTGCCAGGAGAATGTATTCATTTTAGAGCAATCTGATACTGGTAAAAAAGAGATTTGGATCTGAAATTATTTCTTTTATCTTCAGGGCATCAAAGGAGAAAAAGGAAAACCAGGGGAGAATGGATTAGATGGAACACCTGTGAGTTTTTAGCACTGGGGGATAAATAAAATATTTAAGATGTAGCATGAAGTGAAAGTTAACAGAAAGGACAACAGATGTTACAGCTTTACTTTGATTCAGTTTTATTCTGACATTAAAGTACACTATGCTTACATATTTCCTTGATTCTGAAAGCCTTACACAAGAACATGCTTCACAAATCCTCTAAAAGTGAGTACACACACACAAAGACACCTTTTTCACTCTTAATTTCTGGGCCTGGTAGTGCCCTGAAAAAGATGAGAGCAGCAACCATTTGATCACTAAAAAATCTATACAATTTCTCAAGATATGCCTTTTTCACTAAAACTGACGTATGGTACTCCGGAGTCCCCCCTTTGTATTGTATTGATTTTCAAAAACTAACATCATATTCTTGTTGTGTAGGGAGAACGTGGTGAAAGAGGACCAGAAGGTCCCCAGGGTAACTCTGGTGCAGCAGTAAGTTGATGACAGGAGGTTTCTATTTATTTTATATGTCAGTTATTACGCATGTTTGTACAGCCAGTAGAGATTTAAAGCTGTTTTTGTAGCCAAAATATTTTTATATTTATTACCAAGGTTGTTTGTAAGTTGCATGAGTAGATGAAAGTTTAGATTTGTAGTTTCTAAGACTTAACAACCATTTTGACTTGTTTTGCTTGAATTTTACGTCAAATATCTGAGTTCATTTCAGAAGTGAAACTCACCAGAGTAGCAATGAAAACTGCTATATTTTGTCGTAGACTGGCACTAAGCATCCTGTGACCAAGCAGATCGAGGTCCCATAGTTGTCAGCTTTTACAAACACGCTAGAAAAAGAGAAACAAGAATTATAACTTAATTAGATAACAATTTTTCATTTCCTTAGGGTCCTCCAGGTCGCCCTGGAGTACCAGGGTCCCCTGGAAGCAAGGGAGACAGGGTAAGATTTCTGTTTTTATGAACTTTTATCATGAGGGAGAATGGGAAGGACGTTTCATAAAATAATGGTCCGCAGTAAAGGAGACTTTTTTAAAATAACTTTTAAAATGAAGTCCAACAGGAAGGCGTGTTGGGTGTGATAGCTATTTGATTTAAGTTCTACAGTTTGGGAGACTGCGTTAGGTATCTGTATAGGGAGAGAGAGGATTTCTTTTTATCTTAGTATTACAGTAACTCCTTCTTTTATCCAATGATCAGTCTCCGTATTAATTACAATGTATAGTTTTTATGCCAAGCCGTAACTATTGCATCACTCAAAAAACATGTAAGAAGGCAGAGCACTGGCTGCATTGTATTGAAATGATAGTTGCTTAAAACATTTTGATTTTGCTGTAGGGTGACACAGGTCCTCAAGGAGGCCGAGGAAACACAGGAAGAGACGGCAAGAGGGTATGAAATACCATTTCAAACTAGATACATAAACAAGACGATGTTGTGTAAACCTTTTGGCTGGTTTTTTTTTTTTTAAGAATTTGTGGATTGCAAACTTACGTTTTATCAGAATTTCAAAC